TTACCGACTACACCCCCTTCCAGTGGCGGTAATGGTACAGGGTCACCAGGCTTCCAACCAGGCGGCACAAGTGGAAGCTCGAGGGGAAGCTCCACTGGCATCCCCTTCTTCCATCCAGGTGGCACGGTGATGGGCAACATTGGCGGAAGAACAGGCATGGCAGCCTCCTCCCTTGGCGGAGTGGGCTCGATGAGGGATTCCGTGATCTTCTCTGCAGTCCCCTCCTTCGCCTCTGGGGGCTTCTTTGGGACCCCAACATCAAGATCGGCAAAATGATACAATTGAGAGGCGCGCATCTCGTTATCCTGCGGCGCCGGAGGTAGGGCACCCCGCAAAGGCGCCAAGCCCGCGCCGTGCTCCGGCGGGGCGAATGTAGTATAGCTGATTCGGTGGGCAAGAGCCAAAATTTCGTTCAGATCCAGAGAGGAGTGTAGAGAGGATTGGTAGTCGGCATCACCGGGTTCACCCTTTATGCGCTTGGGATCTCGGCGATAGTCAGAGTAATCGTCGAGGAGGCGGTCGAGAACCTGCTCGGCATCATGGAGTTTGCGCGTGAAAGAGAGGAGGGCGGTGTCCTTGTTGCGGACCTCGCGAGCGATATTCACCTTAGAGTCTTGTAGATCGAGGATCTCCTGTAGCTCGGCCACGGCCTCGAAAAGCTGAGTCTGGAAGGAGGTGAAGAGAGAAAGGACCTCTTTGGTTGTGGTGGGAGGTGAAGGATGGCGAGGATCGAGGGATAAAGGTTGAGACTGGGCGCCGGAAAGGAAGATTGGCGGGCCGCCAGAGCGGGCGGAGGCCCAAAGGGCGCGATGGGAAGAAACTTCGAAGAGCTTGCCGGCGAGTAAAGCCATCTGAAGGAGAAGGGCTTGGGCTCGAGGAAGGGGAGGGAGGAGGGAGAGGAGGGATGAAGAGGTAGTGACGGGGTTGGGGGTAGCCGCGGTAGGGGCGGAGAAAGGAGCGGACTTTGAAGTAGGGTTAGGGTTAGGGGCTTGGGAGGGAAGAGATGGAGATGTTGCGTTAGGGAGGCCTAGTCTCGCCGGTGACGGCACGGTCGCCGGCGCGTGGCTCTGTAGCATCGCACCAACTCTCTCTCTCTCTCTCTCTCTCTCTCTCATATGTCTTGGTTATAATGACTTGATTAGGCAAGAAGGAAAAGAATGATTAATTAATAAAAACTTGTAATTTTTGTTTTAATGATTTTTAAAATAAAATTGTTTTGGTTACAAACAAAAAACACAAAATTCACTATTTATCCCACTAATATATACAAACATGCATACAATTTTTAGATATTTACATATTTAGTATATAAACAAACTCAACTTTCATGCACACAAATATAACGATCAAATATTTAATATTATAACAAAATACTATTGCACATAAAAACATGATAACATGATTCTCAATAAAATTCAACATTTAAGAGATAATATAATGAAGCAAACTAGGGCCCCAAAATCCAACATCATGACTAATGACAGTTAGAGATTCATTCAAATGGTACTTTGACCGAAGTTTTGGTACAATCTCTATCACATGACTCACTGAGACAGACCGGAGAGACGAGACGATCCCCCCTACCAGCCCGTATACAACGGCGCCCCGATCAAACACTCGAGCAGGTGTCTTCTCAGGCTCTCGGGCTTACTAATGGGTATTATAAAAAATACACCATATTGACATAATAATTTTATTTTAGTAGGGGTAAAGAGTGTAAATTTGTCAAACCCTTACCTATAAATATGATGCCCATTTTATAAAAAAAATGCAATTTTAATGTTCATTATCGTGCTCTTTTCCTCTCTTTTAAGCTCTATTCCTTGTTTGTGTCTTCCATTAATTTTGAATTCAATAGTTGCTCTTATTAAGTTCTTAAAAGTGGAATACATTTTTTATTGGACAAGAGAATAAAATTAACATGTTGTGAATATAAATATCTAATTTTAGATATTAGAAGTATAAACTCATAATAATTGTGTGTTATATACTAAATTCTTTTTTTAAAAAAAATTTGCATACATAGCACATAAATCTTATGTATTTATATATCTTGCACAAAAATTTTTATATTTTTATGCGCCGTACAATAATATTTCAAATTGATATAGGAAAATATGTATTTTATTTTTAAAAATTAATAATAATCCTATTTTTAATAGAAATATTAAAGATGTGAGTGCTTTGTGTATAAATATGGGAGTATAAGTAGGAGATATGCAAATACATAAAAATTTTGTGCATGTATGCAAATGCCCCTTTAAAAAAAAAATATACAAAAACAAAATGTCCAAGGGAAGCTCCGGTCACAATTAATCTAAGAAACCCTAGTCTCTTCTGCGGATTTTGGCGGGAGGGACGAAAGGTGGGAGATAGGAAAATGTTGTTACCCGAGGACGGAGAAGCTTCGGCGGCGGAGGAGTTCAGAGTGTGGAAGAAAAACAGCCCATACCTGTATGACCTCGTCATTTCTCACGCCCTCGAATGGCCTTCGCTCACAGTCCAATGGCTTCCCTCTTCATCCTCCTCCCATTCATCCTCTTTCTCTACGATCCAGCGCCTCGTATTAGGCACGCACACTTCGGACGATACGCCCAACTTCTTGTTGATCTCAGCTGTTCAGTTCCCCTCACCTTCCCATCTCTCCAGCGAGCCTCCGCTGAACTTGCCTTTGGCGCCGCTTCCCAACGTCCGGATCGAACAGAGGATCAGCCACGAGGGGGAGGTGAACCGAGCGAGGTACATGCCACAGAAGCCTTCGCTGATTGCAACGAAGACATGTGGGCCGGAGGTGCACGTATTTGACTCCGGAAAGCGGCCGATGATCCCGCCGGAGGGGGACACTTGCAGACCTGATTTCGTGTTGAGAGGACATCAAACTGAAGGTTATGGCCTAGCATGGAGCTCAAGAAGAGAAGGATACCTTTTGAGTGGCTCCTATGATTATAAGATTTGTCTCTGGGACGTTGGCATTGCTTCAAATGAGAAGAATCTTGATTGCAACGCGGTCTTTGAGGTAATTGACGAGGAAATTCGCACTGCTGGTCTGTCCACAGGGCATTTTTTTTTCAGCCAGCACTTGTAGCTGATTATTTTGTAGAGAGCCAAATTTTCAATGTTCTGTTTTTTGTTCATATTTACAGGCTCATGAGGCCGCAGTTGAAGACGTTGAATGGCACTCTGAGAATGATAATATGTTTGGTTCTGTTGGCGATGATCATCGTTTGATGCTGTGGGACTTGCGTTCATCAAGAAAACCCGAGCATTCACTTTTAGTTCATGAAGACGAGGTTATGCGACATGTCATTTTAGCATGATTATCTTTTTTCACAGTGTCTCTGATGTAGATGTGGGTAGCAAGAAGGGGAATTCAGACACTAGGAGAAAGAAACCCGATGGAGAAGGAGAAAGAAAGCAATATTTCACGGTCAAGGGAAGTTTAGGAAAATTCTCGATTCAATTTATTTAATCATAATCAATTGCATTCCTTGAATCTTTATTTCTATAAGTCTTCCACTGTGTAATGCTAGAAGATGAGAGGAAACATGTAAATTGAAATCTAAACCTGTCTAAACTAAATCCAATCCTAATAATTCAAATTTAAACCTTAAATGATTCAAAAGTACATTTTTACCGATAAAATAAATTTTAAATTCCTAATCAATTCAAAGATATTGAAATTGCATTTAAACTTGCTTTCTGGTGGTGCGATGGAAGGGCAAGAAGAAAGAGCAGCGGGCACACAATTTGGATCAAAAGATAAGCAAGATTTGACTGGCTGTCGAAATAGCTTCCATTCATTAAAGTTGTTCAATTAGGAGCCAATAATCTCTGCTTAAAGAGAGAGTAAAAGAATAGGAAGGATAGGTTAAATTGTAAGCTCTCATATTTAAAATAAAAATTTAATCATAAACAAATATTTAATATTAAATATATTATTATCCAAAGAAGGTTATTCAACTTAATAAATTAAATAAAAAAAAACAACCATTATTAAATATGGCAATAGAAATAACTGAAAATTGGTTTGATTATTCTCCTTTATGTTTTGTTTAACTGATCGATAGAATTTTGATCTTTTTGGGCTAGATCATTTTATTTGTACAGCATCACTTCATTTTACTAGGAAAAGAGCTTTAGTTGACGAGATTATAAGAGGTCATTAAGGCAGAGAAAGTCTTCCTCTTTGATTACCTGATGGATGAAATGACCATGCAATGCATGAACAGAATGAAGAAGTCAAAAGTACTCAAAGATTTCCAGGCTTAGGTGTTAGGTAGCTCCAAGCTTTGTATACATGTAAAAGCCATGCAATGTGGATCAGCGATGAATTATGTGATGATTGAGGTACAATTCATATTCAATTTCTACTAGGTGTGGTTGAAATAAATTATAATTATCAGAATAGCATATGTAATGTGGTCATTACTGTTTTTTTTTGTCTTAGTGATATGATATTTGGGTAATAACTCCGATGAAGATAGATCAATGGGTAAAAAATTGTTATATACTGAATACTTATACTTGGCTGGGCTTGATTAATGGCATACTTATCAAATGGTTTATAAAAACTGATTGATGAATTTGATAAGATACACCATCTTATGCACATGAGTAATATGAATGGTAGTGTTCATTGAAGGATAATATTGAGAACCACATATATAATATTTGTGATGTGAAAGATAATGTTGATCTTCATTATATTGCCAAATTTTTCAGACGAACTGTGCCTTGAGATGGACACCTATTAAATTTTAATTGATAATTGGGAATTGAGAAAACCCTTGGTAAAAAGGTGAACGTTAACTGTTGAAATGGCTAGCAATATGTTGTTGGCTTGAAGTTGGTTGCATTGATGAGTGGTTAATGGTTACTCGTTGAAGTGATTTGTGATAATGGTGTTCTTTAGGAGAGTAACAGGAGAGGGTTATGAGACAGAAAATTTATGCTAGAAGTTTGATCAAATTTGGGAGCAATAGAAAAAGCAAGCAAGGTGCAGTTTGCATGTGAGGTAGATGGTGATTTATGTTTGATACGTCATCAGCAAATTTTCAGTATTTGACACGAATCTCGAGACATGATGTGAATCTCGAGGTATTTTATGTTTAAGAAATGTTCAAACTCAAATTAAAAATAATCCAAAACTCTAATTTCAACAAACTTAACAGTCAAACTCACTGACACATGAGACGGACCCAATGATGCCAAAATTGATCACTTTAAGAGTTTTCTATCAGTGTTGGCCATTTCTATGTTTTGTACCTGACATTTGTATCACATGCTAAAATCAATTCCACCTCCTTGGGGGGAAAAAAATAGCGAGCTATGGGCAAGGCATCTCTCAGCATACCTATGATGTGCCCCCAACTTGTTTTGGACTTGCTCTGACTCAACACCATCCCCTTCTCTGCTACATATATACTCTCTTGCATACATTTTTGTCATGTTGTTCTTTATAGTGATATAGCTTTCGTCCAGATTCTTCATCCTATTCTTTGCAGTCATTTTTCTGTTTATATTGATCATTGGTAGCCCGTTTGTTTAAGTAATATATATATATAAGTTTGCAAACTTTACTTTAGATAAACAGATTTTGATATTAGATAGTTTTCACGCCATTTATTATATATATAAAAATCATCTGTTTCTCTTCTTATCTTCTTTTTTTCATCAAGTTCTAAGTGTTTCATGGCATTCATTTTTTTTATTGGGAATGACCCAAAGAGAATTTAGCATTAAATTAATATAGTTAATCAAAAATATACAATGACTCGAATATTCTTTCATTTTAGTTGACTTTTGATCAATTTTAATCGCAACTTCATTATATATTTTGGCTTCCATCATACTGTTTTGTCTACGGGTTATTAGTTACAATACTTTATGAATTTTTGCTTCCATCAATCTTAGTTACAATACTTTATGAATTTATTTATTTTAGATTTATGTTGTTGTTGGTTGCATAAATAAATATTCTTTTTGCACTCACATAGTTTGCCACATGCCATCTTTGGTTCTATGGAGGTAATTTGCTTAGTTTTGGACATATTTGTCATCGGTTTATTCTTTCATTGCCTTCCCGGTAAGGTTATAGTTTTTGCAATCCTATGACTGTGACGAAGTTTTTCATAGTTCAAATAAGCTGCATTATTATATGTTTAAATCCATTTACATTGTACTATGGCTATATCTGCCTTTTGGATGCCTATAAAGATGCTCTCGCAGTCTAAAACACTTGGTTGATTGTCTTTTTTTTTTTATCTCCCTGCATTACGGAATTTTGCCGCTTCATTGCTTTATTCATTTTCATTGCATGTACTTGAAGATAAGCGTAACATTGATTAACTTTATTTTTTTCTCCCAGGTTAACAGTTTATCATTTAACCCATTTAATGAGTGGCTTCTCGCAACTGCATCAGCGGACACAAATATTAAACTATTTGATTTACGGAAGCTGTCATTGGGTTTGCACACTTTCTATAATCACACGTATGTGCTCCATTTGTACTTCTTTATGAACTAGTAAACTTATCCATGAAATTAACCATGCTTCTTTTATGTATTATTTGCTATATTCTAAAATTAATGGAGTGGAATTATTTTAGCTTTAAATCTTCTCTCTTTAATAGCCAATCTCAGGCCTAGCAATGCATTTCCTTGGTTTTAATGTGATTATTAATTTTCTTTCATTACTCTTGGCGTTTAACACTGCTAATGCTGGTTCCCAAGTCCTGGATGTGAAAAGTGAAGAGTTGCATTACGTTGTCGGCAACCAGCATAAAATTTATTGAATTATTATGACATGAATCGTTTTGATCATTGTCTAATGCTATGACGTCCCTTGGAAGCGACACTCTGTATGATCTGAATACATTGAAAAATATGCAAAGACTGCTACACCGGCGCACGGGTGTAGTGTCAAATAAGCAAGGGTTCCCACATTATGGACAAATGCGGGTAAAGAAGTTAATTCATGATAATAATAACATGATAAGATCTTGGAATATAGCTACTCTTACAAGTAAATTAATGAAATTAATTAATACTATGATTTATCGGAAGATAAATATCTTATGTATTCAAGAAACTAAATGAGTTGAAGAAAAAATTAAGGAGATTGATAACTTAAGTTTTACACTTTGATATTCAGATAAGAGTCGCACTAGAAATGGTGTAGGTATAATTGTAGATAAGAGTTTGAAAGATAATGTTATAAAAATTAATAGAATTGAAGCTATAATTATATCCCTTAAGATTATTGTTGATATTAAAATTTTTAATATTCCAAGTGTTTATGCTGCTCAAGTAGATTTAGATATAGGTTTTAAGAAAAAAAATTGGAATGATGTAGAAAACTTATTACAAATGATGTCTCTTGAAGAAAGAATTTTTATTTGAGGAAATTTAAATGGATATGTCCGTTGAGTGATGAAAGATTTTAAAAATATTCACGCTGGTTGCGGTTTTGAAGTGATTAATGAAGAAAGTAGAGTCATATTAGATTTTGCTTTAGCGTATGTTTTTGTTTTTGTTAATATTTTATTCAAGAAAAGAATTACATATTATTACTTATAAAAATGAATCTAATAAAACACAAATTGATTATTTTCTTATAAGAAGAAGAGATCTTCGAGAATATAAAGATTGTAAGGTCATTCCAAATGAGGATTTAAGTACTCAACATTGATTATTCTTCTGGATTTTAAGATGAAGAGTTGTAAAATAAAAAATACTAGGGACTCGTTGTCATAGATTAGATGGGGGCACCTAAAACACACAAAAAAATATATATTTTTATGATCAAATTCAATATTGCAAGATCTGGAATGTTTATGAAGAAGCAAATTCTATGTGAACAAACACTATTAAAGAAGTGACAAAGATGTATTTGGAGAATCAAAAGGAAAAGTTTCTATAAATAAAAATAATTGGTGGTGGAATAATAACGTGCAATAAAAAATAAAATAGAAGAAGTTATGTTATAAAAATTAGTTTAAAAATAAAAGTTTAGAGAACTGGGAAAATTTTAAAATGACTCGTAGGAAGTTTAAGAAAATAATCTGTGACGCTAATAATTATGCTTTAGTGAACTTTTTAATAGATTAGATACTAAAGATGATGAAAAATAAATGTATAAACTAGCCAAACAAAGAAAAAAAAAGTAAATACTTAACTCAAGTAAAGTGTATTAAAAATGAAAATAAAAAATGTTTTTCTTAGAAAAAGATATTCAACATAGGTGAGTTATTTTAATAAATTTTTCAATAAAGTTTCTAAGAATACGATCAACTTTAATGATCTTAATATCTTTAATAATAATAAAATATTTCATTTTTATTGTCGCATTAGTAACAAAAAAGTTGATGAGGATTTAAAGAAAACCAAGTGTGGAAATTCTGTAGGACCTGATGATATCCCAATTGAAGTGCGAAAATATTTAGGAGATTTGGGAGTTTCTTGGTTTTAGTAAACTATTTAATATTATTTTGAAAACTAGTCCCCATTTTTATGAGTAAAGGGGATGCACAAGAGTGTGTATGTATCATATTTTAAAATTATGAGAGAGGATAATTGAACAAAGGTTGAGACGTATTACAAAGATTTCTCATAACCAGTTTGGATTAATGTCGGGCAGGTCTACTATGGAAGCTATACATTTATTGAGAGGTTTGATGGAGAAGTACAGAGTTGATCAATGCATTTAGCATTAATTAAAAGAATATAATCTAAATCCTCCGTTGATTAATGCATTTAGCATCTTTGAACTTGAGGCATTGCCTTGCTGGTCCTCCGTTTCCCATGATCTTGCTTGCATGCAGCCTAGGTGAGCTGACATATATTTATCCATTGGCCAGGTGTCGCAATATCTTGGTTGGTACATTTAGCTAAACCTAAATCTGTTTTATTATATTTGCTTATGGGATTGCGATTGGAAGAAAAGAATATTATTTGGATGGTTCGGATAACAAAGTTGTTTGGATTCCTTCGCTTGCCCATAAATTTAGCCCAATTTCTAATGCGTATGTTCTTGCTTGTATTTGTGTATGCTAGTCAGAGTCAAGTACATGATTTATGATGCTCCACTGTTTGATTCTATTTAAGTTTGTCAATGACACCATGCTTTTGATGTGATTTCTTACCAAGTCAACAATGGTTAATCTCACTGATTTAAATATTTTCAGAGGACCTGTCCTTCAAGTTGAATGGAGCCCTCATCGTGAAACTTTGTTGGCCTCATCTTCTGAGGATAAAAAACTGATGCTTTGGGATCTTTGCCGGTAAGTTTCTCAGTGATGGATGTGGATAGTTTTGTACTATTTCACTCTACTGCCTTATTTATTAAAGCAGTGGCATACTCATTTAACTGACATACAAAAAGAAATAAGGGCATTTTTTTGTCATGTCTTGCAGACTTGAATAAAACCTGGCATTTAGATAATACAAATTTTTCTAGATGGCTCTCTGATGGCATCTGGTTTGGTTTTATCAATGATGATACTTATGTCATGGGAAGATTTACATACATGCCTCTTAATTCCTATGTATTTTACATGTCTAACACCTAAGCTTCAATTTTTACATACATGAAACCTGACCTTTCTTGAAAAAAAAACTGTATTTCACTTTTAAGTTGAAGTGGTGGTATTTTTGATGTAATATGAAAGATTTGAGTGGTATAAATGTAAAAAATAATGGCTTTCGGTGTTGGCTATGTTTAGGGTTATTGGCCAGTCAGTCCTAGAGGCCAATTGAACAATTATTTGGAGGAACCTTGTTCCTCCTGAACATTACATCTTGTTCAATCTTCACTATTTAAAATGGACTCTAATCCCTTTGTATACAGTGAAGCTCTGGGCTTCACAGCCTCCTTACACTTCTTTCATGCTCGTCAACATCATCAAAGCTCAAGAACTCCATATTTGCATGTGGCAAGAGCTTACAAAGCAGCTTCAAGATAAAAAATAATAATTGAAGCGAATCCAACACCACCTTCAAAATTAATTTCGGACCTCATTTCTATAAATGCTGTGTAGATATTTTAATCATGTGTTGAAGATGTGTATTTTTTGAAGTGAAATCTCATCATCATACTAATATCATTCGATGATTAAAAAAAAAAAATTTTTTGTCAGAATTGGTGATGAGCAAACTGAAGGGGATGCGTCGGATGGGCCTCCAGAGCTGCTTTTTGTACATGGAGGGCACACTGCAAAGATATCGGAGTTCTCCTGGAACCCTGAGGAGCCATGGGTGATCGCCAGCGTCGCCGAGGATAATATTTTGCAGGTCTGGCAGGTGGCGGAGAGCATATACCGTAATTTTTATGACAATGAAAGTGATGGTGAGGCATAGGCTATCAGCTAAGCTTCTTCCTCCAACTCCCCAACCAGGTATGCTTGAATGAACATATACATCAATATATAGAGTTCTTGCAGTCAATCAGATGTTTAAGAACATAAGACCTTCCTGTTTTTTGGTGTTATTGTATTCATATGATTTTAAGATATTTAATATCAGAATCCATATGTTTGTTGAGAATCTGTGAGCCTACACTTGTTGAATTGAATCTATAAGTTCACAAGTTGAAATAATTAGATGGGTCATTTTAGTCCCCAAAGTTATAAAAATGTCAAATTTGTCTTGAGATTTTTTTATTGGGGGTTAAAGTAATCCTTCATTTTAATTCATATTAAAAGAGCCTGGGACAATTAGGGGTGTAAACGAGTTGAACTCGAGCGAGCCCAATCTCAACTCGTGTTCGGCTTGTTTATATTTCGAGCTCAAAAAGTGTGTTCGTGTTCGGCTCATTTGCTTAGCGTGCCGAACACGAGCTGTTCATGGACAAAGAGTCTTTTTGACAACCCTAATCACGTAGCCATCAGATATTAAGGATTGAGGCAAGATTTAAAACATCATTTGAATCTAATTTAATAATTTTTATTTTATTTAATTATAAATCTTTGTAGTTTTGTAGTCAATTAATTTTTTTTAAAAATAATACTTTATTCATGTTGCTCATATTTGATTCGTTAACTTAACCAGAATTTTTTCTTCGTTCTGACAGCCCTAGGGACTATATTTCTCCTATAAAAATCAAGGTACCTTTTTAACACTTCTTCTCATGACATTTTGGAAGGAAGCGATCATGACTGTACGGTCATATTTTCTTATGATTTTTATATTAAATAAAATGTATTATAATTAAACAAAATATTATAATTTTTCCTAAAAAAAGAATTTTTTTTCTAAAAGTAAATTTTCTTGGATGAATTAACAATCGACCACCGCCATGGATCTTTCGCAAACTTTAAGATTCGTATAGATACCTCGCAGCAGGAAGCTCAAGGCACTCGTGGTGCCGGTGATGGTAATTTTAGGGTTTAGGGTTTAGGGAGCGATCATACTGTAACAGGTTCGAAACGATTGAGTTGACATCTGAGCCCAAAAGGAAGCGATCATACTGTAGCAGGTTCGAAACGATTGAGTTGACATCTGAGCCCAAAGTGGGCCCCCATCAATTCCTAAGAGTCAAAAGCCCAAAATAATATTCGGACACCGCATAATATGCTTTATATGTCATATTTGTTATATATATTTTGTAAAGTAATTTTCTATTAGTGAACACAAAATTTTTTGTAAGGAGAAAAGTGCGAGGCAAGTGGGCCCCACAATTATTGTTGGGATTGATGAGATTCAAATATAAGACATCTCAATGCAAGAGGAACTCCACAATCATCTGAGAAGTGATCTCATCTGCACGGAAAAAATTTGCGTACGTCAAGGGGTGCGCATCTCTGCGTACATAATAGTGTACATGGGAGTTATATGAGAGTTACAAGGGGGTTATAACCTGTTGTACCTCCCGTGTAACCTCCTGTGTAAATCCCGTGTAACCCCGCTGTAACAATTATACAGACTTGTAACTCCTATGTAACTCTCGTGTACACGCTTGTAACTCCCATATAACTCCCATGTAACTCCCGTATACACTATTATGTAAGCAGAGATGCGTACTCCTTGACGTACGCAATTTTTTTCCCATCCGCACAGGCTCCATTAAAAATGTAAACGAGCCGGTTGAGCCCAAACTACTCTCGATTTGAGCTTCATTAATTTTATCAAATTCTAAAAGTTTAGAAGATTGTAATAATTTAAAATAATATAATAATAAAATAATTATTATAAGGATCAATTAAAAAATAATAATAATAAATCATTTAATATAAAATATAATTTTATACTCAATATTTTTAATAATTTAAAGATAAAATCTTTAAATTTAATATATTTTAATATATTTTAATATATTTTAAATATATTTTATATAATAATTTTTTTTTTAAACTAACGCCACTTACACAACTTTGGCTTCAAATCTAAACTAAACTTGGGCTTCACTAGCTCATGGCGCTCAGTTCAGAAGCCAATCATAAATCGAACCGAGTTCAACATGAACGAATAAATATTTATTCTTATTGCTCATATTTGACTCGTTAACTTAATTAGTGTTATTCTTCATTCTGACAGCCCTAGGGACTATATTACTTCTATAAAAATCAAGGTACCTTTTTAACACTTCTTCTCATGACATTTTGGAAGGAAGCGATCATGACTGTACGGTCATATTTTCTTATGATTTTTATATTAAATAAAATGTATTATAATTAAACAAAATATTATAATTTTTCCTAAAAAAAGAATTTTTTTTCTAAAAGTAAATTTTCTTGGATGAATTAACAATCGACCACCGCCATGGATCTTTCGCAAACTTTAAGATTCGTATAGATACCTCGCAGCAGGAAGCTCAAGGCACTCGTGGTGCCGGTGATGGTAATTTTAGGAAGGAAGCGATCATACTGTAGCAGGTTCGAAACGATTGAGTTGACATCTGAGCCCAAAGTGGGCCCCCATCAATTCCTAAGAGTCAAAAGCCCAAAATAATATTCGGACACCGCATAATATGCTTTATATGTCATATTTGTTATATATATTTTGTAAAGTATGTATATAATGTCACACATAATTATTTTCTATCAGAGAACACAAAATTTTTTGTAAGGAGAAAAGTGCAGGCAAGTGGGCCCCACAATTATTGTTGGGATTGATGAGATTCAAATATAAGACATCTCAATGCAAGAGGAACTCCACAATCATCTGAGACGTGATCTCATCCGCACGGAAAAAATTTGCGTACGTCAAGGGGTGCGCATCTCTGCGTACATAATAGTATACATGGGAGTTATATGAGAGTTACAAGAGGGTTATAACCTGTTGTACCTCCCGTGTAACCTCCTGTGTAAATCCCGTGTAACTCCGTTGTAACAATTATACAGGCTTGTAACTCCTATGTAACTCTCGTGTACACGCTTGTAACTCCCATATAACTCCCATGTAACTCCCGTATACACTATTATGTAAGCAGAGATGCGTACTCCTTGACGTACGCAATTTTTTTCCCATCCGCACAGGCTCCATTAAAAATGTAAACGAGCCGGTTGAGCCCAAACTACTCTCGATTTGAGCTTCATTAATTTTATCAAATTCTAAAAGTTTAGAAGATTGTAATAATTTAAAATAATATAATAATAAAATAATTATTATAAGGATCAATTAAAAAATAATAATAATAAATCATTTAATATAAAATATAATTTTATACTCAATATTTTTAATAATTTAAAGATAAAATCTTTAAATTTAATATATTTTAATATATTTTAATATATTTTAAATATATTTTATATAATAATTTTTTTTTTAAACTAACGCCACTTACACAACTTTGGCTTCAAATCTAAACTAAACTTGGGCTTCACTAGCTCATGGCGCTCAGTTCAGAAGCCAATCATAAATCGAACCGAGTTGACACACTTACACAACTCAGGCCCAGCAAATATTCTTTTTGCTTTCTACGTGCCTCTTTTTCCCCCATTTATTAAATTGTCTCCCATTGAATCGCTGCATGTGGAACAAACACCGAGATTCGGTGGGCCCACAGACTCAGGCTTCGGTTGGGTTTTTTTTTGGGTGCAAAACGTAAACCAATCATAAATTTTATTTGGATACAACTAGGCGCTGCATCAATACTCCTAATACCACTCATCAATACTAACATAATAGCAAAAAAAACTCTACTTACCAAAACTCACAAAAATATCTTAATAATAAAAAAAGGGTTATGTTGATTAATTGTATTTACTTTTTATATTTACAATAAGCTGATATAGCTCACCATTTATTCACTATATATATATATATATATGCCGCTAGCAGTGGCTTTTTGGTGCTCACCATTTATTCACTATATATATATATGCCGCTAGCAGTGGCTTTTTGGTAAAACAATCTCTTTGAAGATCATAAGTCCCCTCAGGACACGTTCGAATCCCCCTCTGATCATGTTGTTGGTAGTGAAGGCGGACCTCGAATAATAAAGCACATAAGAGTGGTTGTGGGCTCTTATAATAGCCTCGAGTCTTTCCTTTATACATATATAGATAGATAAACAGACAGACATATAGTTTTTCAAAATGTAGAACTTGAAGCTCGCAACAACTTCCCTTTGGTCGTCGTCGCCTGAGCATCTATTGCCATCTTGAGCTGTCGCCCATTCCAACAATTCAAATAATATTTAATTCCTTGCCAAATTAGGCTCAACTACAGGTTGAAATAGTAATAAAAAAAGAAAAAAAAAATTTTATTTCATTCAATAGCCCCTCACTTATACCTTGCAATTTCTCAAATTCTAGTGCTTAAAACTTTGGGATCCTATTTCTCCATAGGGAAAGCCTTCCAACTCCTAAAAAAGTAGAACTAGCGGTACTCACTGACATGAACTACTGCTAGCGGTACAAAGTGGGGGTACTACTCGGATATTAAAGGATTCACCAGACAAGCATGCTTTGCAAAATTAGCTACATTAGAGATTATATTTTCAAAAGTTTTTCTTGTAGTAATGATAATAGCCACAATAATGTGACAATATGAACATGAGACTGACAGCTGATTCATCATTGGATTAAATTAAAATATTATCTTTCCTTTAATTTGATATGTCATATATGTGACATCGATGACATCATATATATGTCCTGTGACATGAGAAATATGACTCTTGCTGAACAGCTCCGAATAATTCTTGGAATTATGGTGCATATCTTTATAAACATTTGTGCAAGCTCTTTCATATTAATAGGAAAGAGTTTACATATAATTTAATATTCTCTTATAAGCTACTGTGTCGTCAGCAAATTGTCAATAGTTGAATGAGGTTGTCACCCACATATTAGTACAAAATCATAATTATACTCTTTCTTTCATAATGAAATGGAAGCTATTGACGATACACTTGTACTGACTATTATGAGTAGAGAATTGCGTAATATGTATCAATACATATAAATACTTATTTATCAAGTTTTGATGAATGTCACCTTATTTGATCATTAGTTCATTTATACTTCTTCTGCTTTAGAGGGGGGTTAGCTGCTAACATGATGGTGTTACGTTAGTCAGTGAAACATGATGCATTTTTGGTGCTACAATGACGATATTATCTATCTTATTGGGGTTACACAAATACAAACAAATTATTAGTCATGTTATGAATATCGATGTCATCTAAGTGAATGATTTGTAATATAATCTTGTAGGTACTCTACAACATAAGAGCTATACATTCACCGTCATGCCCAACTACTTAACAAAGTTGAAAGAACATTTGACATACTGAATTCATATGCAACAATTTTACTTGATGATGATAATGAGTAAAATGTTAATATAGTTTTGGATTATTTATAGTAGTCTGTTTTAAGATCAAAATTTATACAAGTGTCAAAAAAAAATATTCAAAATTATTAGAATTCAATTTTAAAATAAATGATAATTATTTTAAGTGTCAAAAAAAAAAATTATTCAAAATGATTAGAATTCAATTTTAAAATAAATGATAATTATTTTAAATTTAGACTCCGGGGCCCACATATAAATAGTGAGGGAATATTTTAAGTCTGTAATCTAATGATAATAATAATCCTGGAATATGATTACCTTCTCCTGCTCCCTCCTCAGTGCGGCGTTCTCCCGTGCAAGATGAGCCACTTCCATCTCCAGCTCGTCCGTATAAGCCTTTGAAAATTTCAAAATAATAATAAAAAAGAAATCAAAATGTAAACTTGGAATAAGGAATTGGTAATAAAGACGAAAGGGATTTGAAAGATGCCTTCTTTCTTGCCCTGGACCGTGCCGCCGACTCTCTGTTTTTTATCATCTTCTTCCAACGGCGTTCCCCACCGCCGCCGGCGATGGCGGGAGCCGACGGATGGCTGATGGCGCAGCGCGCGGGAGGAAGAAAGGCGTTGGTGTGATTGCCGGAGGGGATGGAGAGAGTAGGAGCGGGAAGCGGGTCCGGCGAGTGAGGACGGCGGTTGTCTCCGAAATCTCCGGCGAGGAAGTCGTGGAAGGCGGCTGCGGCGGCAGTGTGGCGGAGGGACAGGGGAGGGGAAGAGAGGTTGGGAGGGAGATTGGAGAAAGCGATGTCTTTCCAGACTTCGTCCATGGTGAAAGAGATAGCGTAGACAGACAGAGAGAGAGAGAGAGAGTCTCAGAGTTTCAGACCATGTTGAGCTTTTTGGGAAAATGGAAACGATGACAAGTTCTTTTATAACTTGAAATTAAAAACTAATACGCTCCAAATTTGTATTTGTATACTAAAATAAACGATGACAAGTTCTTCTATTTCAAACAAATTCTTAATCATACAATTAAATTATTGCACATCAATCCCAAATAATTAATAAAACAAATTCTTATATATTTAAATACCAAAAATACGTCTCATTCAAAAACATGAATAAAAATATAATATTATCACTATGTATAAATAGATATATTTGATTATTATTTATCTATGTTCCTTTTCTCTTTTTCTATCTCGCTCTATCTTTTATTACTTAAGCCTTATTTCTTATGTGTGATTCAAGAACATATCAACAATCAACCGTGTTCATAGTTTTAGATGATAAACACTTTGGCTCAATATTCTAAAATTTTGTTTTATATGCTCGGACACAAAATCAATTATGACGAAAACAATTTTTGCATGGAATGTTTTTTTTTTTTATAAAGATATTTATAGTGCATGGAATATTTTTTAAGAGATTTATAGGAGCATCTTTTAGTTTTAATTATTTTTTATTTTTAATTTTTTATTGGTTTTAGGGCCAGCTGGTTAACAGTGAGACACAACTTGTGGATGAAAGTAGGGAATATCAGCTGCTTTTTAAACTTTATTTATTTATTTATTTTTTGGAGCTTTTCATAATGTTGGATTCTCGTATATAATTTGTTTATATCCACTTTTACAGTTTTTTTGAATCTACAAATCATATAAAAAATGACATTCATAATTAACTTATCTTGATTATACATATCTTTTATTCATAATTTTGATGCGATTTAAATAATACAAAATTTAAAATTTAGGAGTTGGATGTGTAAATACATAGGTATTGAAGGGTATGTATGTAAATGGTTAAATTTCAGATATTATACAAGCAATATTTGGGTTAAAAGTATTGGGTAGGAGTGATTCATAATTACTATTTGAGAATAATTTTGTTTGAGATATTTAATTCTTATATGTTTATATATGCACATCTCTATGTTGGCTTGTCAAGTTGATTAGGTTCCGAGGAGAAGTTACAATGGACGAATTCCAAAGGCCGAGTTATAATTCGTAGAATTGCAAGAGTCGTGTTTCAATGGACAAGTTTCAAGGGATGAGTATTGAAGGCCGAATTATATGGTCGAGTTGACCGACAGAGGTATTATCTGAGAATAAAATACTTCTATAAAGAAATTTTACTTGGTTGATAAAAATGTTTTATTTATTAACAATTTAAATTTGCACTTGATATTAAGATTATAATTATAATAATAATAAAATTATGCTATTCTATAATATCTAAATATGTTGAAAATTTGGGGTAGAACCAGCCTCTTTTTTAAGGTGGAGCAAGTTGCTTTTCTAAACCTAACACGGGTGATGTTATGATAATGAATGGTAAAATGATATTTCAAGAGGGGTAAAGTTGATTTTTTGAGAGAGACAAAAGACTAAATTGTCCTCCCATATTAGTAAAAATTTGAATTTGAGCTGGACTAATTGCTACTTAAAATCTTGATTTTTATCGTTGCCATTGATCTCATAAAAATTCACTATTTACTTAAAAATGATGTGGGAAGATTTCATCATACTATATGCTGAAGAGATAGATACCATATGCTGAAGGAGTTCTAACTCGAGAACACATTACTTAAGCTGATCTCATTCCTCACTTCTCTATTTGTTGGATTTGAGCAATAACTAATCCTTCTTTTAGTTTATCGAAGCTTCAAAATAATATCCATTTTTTTTTTTAATTTGAGGCTGAAAATATCCTCATGAAACATTATTATAACTTAATTTTAAAATAAGCAAAATCTATTTTGACACTTCTATGAATAATTAGGGACCATATTGACATTAGGGCTTTCAAAACGGCTCGTGTTCGGCTTGTTAAGTCAAATCTATATTGATGAGTAGTAATTTTTAAAAAAATTAATTAACTACAAGGGCACAAACATTCATAATCAATTAAAAAAATTAATTAAAAAAATAGAATGAAAATATATTAAATTACATTTAAATGATGTTATAATATAAATAATAAGATTTATACTTATATTCAATGACTGCGTGATTAGGTTTGTCAAAATGACTTTGTTCGTGAAATTCATTAAGGAGTTGCTTGTTTACACCCCAAGTTGGCGCTTCTCTTTGTTAAAAATAATAATAATTATTATTTTCTCTTAGTCCTAGAAAAGGGAATCCATTAGGCCTTATTTATGTATAGATGTGGGAAAATAATATTATTAGAAATATTTTAGTAGGATTGTCTTTTTCAGAAGAAAATTTAGCTCCTGATAATATAGAAAAGGAAATTTGGGCATACATTTTGATTAAAATATGATTTTGAATTATTAAATTTATTATAATAATAACATAATATAAAAATAATTATTTTTTTAAAATTAAATCAATAAAATTTACCTATTTTTTTCATATTTACTACATTTTAATGTCATAAATTTAACCCTAAACCCTAATATTAAAAATTTGATTGGCAAACATGTAAATGTAAAAATTTAGATGCCAGATATATAAATATTTAAGAATACCTACGAATTGTTTTTTATATGTTACTTCAAAACTTATGGCCTCTTCCCATCTCTCGTTGATAGGAAAAATTATTCCATATGAATAGTATATACAGAAATGCATACGCTGTCCGATTTCCACCATTCATCAGCACAAATGTGTTTCGGTAGGCTGCATTTTTTAATTTTTTTTTTAGATGATGAACGATGGAGATCAGATAGTGTATACATTTTTGCATACACTGTCCGTATGAATAATTTTTCAGTTGATAGGAAGAGAACTAGAAGTGTCGCCCAGTTTATAGCAGTGTTCTCATGAATTAATTTACTAATAGTTTATTAATATTTATTTTGTTAAATAAATTTGATAAATGACTAAAATATCAAAATTCTTCAGTTCAAGAGAAAATTAAGTCAGTTGAAATGTAAGTGATCAACAACACTTAGAAAAAAATTAATTTTGTTTCATTATTAATAATACAAGTCTGGATTTTTGTATAAATGTAAACTAACATGAGGCCATTTGGAGGCGCACCTAGGAAGATCCAGAGGGGTCAATTGCCCACCTCCTACCCCCTCAAATTCAATTTTTTTTACTTATGGGAAGAGAAGGCCGGTTAAGTCATTCCAAAAGATTACAGCTTTCATCATACATTGTTTGGCATTCAACCGAAGACAAAATTTCACATAACTGATCCGCAAATATATAGCGTACATATGAGTTAGAAAGTATCACAACAAATGAACAAATGAATTAATAATTAATAAAAATAGAAGAAGAATTCATATTATATCATGAACAACAAATGAAAAAAGATCCCACATAACTCCAAAAGAGAAAAGTATTCAAGTAATATGATGATCCAAGTTCTTTCGACAAAAAAAAAATTGAAGTGGTGTGTGAAAGGGGGGCTGAAAAAGGACTATAGAGCGAGAAAGAGAGAGAGAGAGAGTCAAGCAAACAAAAAAGTGAAGCATGTATCCAACTGCACTGCGCTAGGAAGAGAAAGAAGAAAGACCAAAGACTGGTGGGAGGGAAGGAGGGGTTAGCTCACCAATGATACTGAGAAGGCGCCCTTCACCCAAAAAACCACCAAATAGAATAAAAGGATAATTACATACACAACACTCGAAAGTCAAAACATTGCTATTTACAAAACTCGAATCCAAGTGACTTTTTCATAAACAATTGATATGTGTCACCATGAAACCATTGAGATTTTGATAAAGATAAAAAAAATGTGGGTTGATTTTATCATGACTTTCGATATTTGAGTGAGAAATTGGAAAATGGACGAAAGGGGGTGCTAGATTTTTAAAATGCAGTGTTTCGAGTGTCATGCATGTAATTGTCCCAAGAAGGAAAAAAAAAAAAAAAAAACTTTACATTTCATAATCTAGAATTCTAAGATGGTTAATCTTTTAAATTTTTTTTCTTTTTTTTCCTTTTTTTTTTTTTAATGTGAGCAGTTACCTCAAAGGGTCAGAGTAAGGAGGCAAAGAGTCCAAAGTTTCCTTAGGACCAGCTCTTGATCCAAATGAAGAATTCTTCAAGTGGTCTGAGTATTTCCCTCATTGAGGGCAATGGTCTCCATCTGGGAAACAAGAGATTCCTGGTTTGTCTGAGAGCCATGCTCGGATTTCCTGTCCTCCGATTCATTTTGGTGCCTGTTAAGTAACCAAATCTGCCATCCATCACGTTTTCTGACTCTATTACCCTGAGGAAATACGAGCAGTTAAAAGTAAATTCTATTATTACAAAGAGAACCTTCTTATTTCAATTTGTATTTTTAGTAAATTGCCTAACAAACAGTTAAGTCCAGATAGAAATTAATGGTTTGAAGCTTATTTTCCAGATACATGATTTTTTTCAACGTTTAAGACAACTGAATTTATAGCTTGCAACAAGGCAAACAAAAAATTATATTGTGCTCCATAATATGAACAAAACAAGACGTAAAAGAAAGGTGCATAACAACCATGTTCCCGATAGTTAATAACATATATTAGAGACAAAGATAGCTAGAATAGTATGACAGTTTACGAAACTCACACCAAGAAAGTTTGAGATAAGTACTTCACTTTTCAAGCTCAAATCGGGGCAAGAAAGCAAATTCATTTTCTAATATTACTTAACGCTCAAAAAAAAGCTGTAGTGAATAAAAACAACTGAGGTCTTTCTATTCTAGCCATAAATAACTATTAGTTGGCTTTATCACACACACTTGTATAAGTACTAGGGTCAATACATGCTAATACATCATGACATTTATCACTTTTCTTTGGCTACCTAGCAAGTTAGTATGAACAAGGGAAGAGAAAGAAGAATGCTTCAGACATTGAAAATTATACTAGTAACAATTAAAAAGAAAGACAGAAAGAGAGTGCAATCTTATTGAATACCTCTACTTCCAAAACATTTGAGGGTCTGATTGCATCCAATATAAATGGGGTGCTATCTGTTAGCTGCTTAATCTGCAGAATAACAACAGGTAATTTCAAACCTTCATTATGATAGCCATAAAGCTACAGAAACGTCAACATGAACAGATGAAAAGCATATGTATAGAAAAGAATAACTAAAAAACCACCTATCTAAAAATTTTCAGATTCCGTCATATTTGCACAAAAGAAAAACCCACACTGAAACTTCTATAAACTGAATTCAGTATAAGAGAAAACTATGAAATTACAGAACATAAGAGCCCTATTGGACAGTGGAATAGGCCTCAAAGGTTTCCTGAATTCACATTAAAGAAAAATAAGGCTTTTGCACTTAAGAAAAAAAATATATTAAAAAAATAATAATGAACTTACAATCCATTATTATGTTTTGAAGCTAATAGTAGAACATGAGCATATAAAAAAAAAGGGTCCATCATAAGCTCTTATATGCATATAATGAAAGCATAGACATGATACACTAATAAATAAGCAAAGTAATATTTAAATATGAAAACACAAGAAGTCTCCAAAAATTGAATATAGAAGGTCAAACTTGTTAAGAATGCTCTTCAATAGCAAAGCACTACTACGTGAACCTTTTCCTCTTTGCATTGTACTCACAAATCAAGTGCTTTATGCATTCGAGCACCAAAGCATGTGCTAGGGGCGCAACACTCCTACAACTTAGCCACCTTTGGTCAGGTCAATTTTGTCAGGTTCAGTGTTAACAGTTTATTCTTCAATATAAGAAGCAATAGTTGAGAACATAGCCCTCAACTAGCATCAATCTGTGTCTTAACCCTCGACCGACAGCCTTCGTGTTTATCCACCTTGACCTTCTCCGTTGATGATCACAACCTTTGCCAGCCACATTGAACAGAGTCTTACCGTAATCGCGCGATTCATCTTGCAATAGCTGCGACCAAACTTGCAGCCCTCAACTTCCATCATCCCAACCCCTCAATCTAAAGCAACTTGAAATGAGTGAGTATGATTTTTTTTTAATGTACAGAAGACTTTTTAAACTTAATCAATTATCCTTTCTAATTGTTCACAATAAAATATTATAATAATAGCAGAGTTTAAGTTAGAACCGCTTACCTCAAATTGACATGTAAAATATGCTACTTCATAGTTCATACAATTAAACACTTCTCATTTGAAAAAGAAAATACACTAAATCAAACCAAACAGTTTTATTACATTTCAAAAAGAATATCTAAACAGGATGACACTTTTATTTAATAACATACTGGATCATATATTCCTATGAAATACAGTGTCCACTATTACCACTATAAATATAAATTAATACAATCAAAATCCTAGGTTTACTGTTATTTTAACAACGTGCCACCAAAAAAAAAAAAACATAAACACACACACAGTAACAAATAAGTTTGTTTCTAATGACCGAATGAGAGATTGTTATTAAATAATAATTACAATTTCAATAAGATCAAGGGATGTTATTGCTTTGTAGAAAATCTAAGAGAAATCTAATACAATTTTTTTTTTTAGTGCAAACACACAAGCCCATTTATCTCCAAGGACTCATCTCTATCATATAATTTATATTTTCTTGAATTTTCTGTTAATTTACCGTCTATTGATTATCTTATTAAACTCAAAATTATTTTATGACATTTTATCCCTCTTATAATGCCCTTTAGTGTCTCAATATGATGAAGATGATTGGTAGATAGCATTGATGTCCCTTGTTTCTTCTCTTCCATCATCACTCTATATTAACAATCATGAACTAACAACCCATTATAAAAATTTTGAAACTAATAGTAAATCGTGGGCATATAAAAGGATGGTTCATCAATATGCTCTCGTATATGTAGAATCAAGCCCAAACACAATACATAAAAACAAAATAGAGTATAATTTAAATATACATACATAATAAGTATACAATGCAGGATTATAAAATACGCTATCATAACTATTGTTGCTATAAATTTTGAATTTTTTACTTCGTAATATTTATAATATTATTTGTTAATATAATTAAGCATTTTTCATTTAAAAAATTAAAGTAAATCAAACCTGATAGTTATTATGATAATTAGAAAATAATATTAATAAAGGACGGCTTTTATTTAATGAAATACTCAAAAAATGATACCTAAATAAAAAAAAATCTAACACTATTATTCATATATTGCAAATACAGGTGCCCATCAATATTCTAAAGATATGAGATCTTAAGTGTTAGCATGCATAGATCAACTTAAGCAAATCATATATGATGCCAAATTGGGCTTAAAATTTATAGTTAGCAATGATGTACATGGATTGGTGGCTAACAATGGGGATAGCTATAAGGGTAAGTATATATATCTATAACATAATGACCTTATATAGCATTTTAATAATGGGTTTGAGGCCCTTAGAGTCCATACTCACTAGGAATCTTCATAAGAAAAAATTTACTAGTGCAAGGCCTTCCTGCACCAGGGAAGCTAGGATTCTAAATTTATCAAAACTTTTGTATTTGTAACTTGAAGTAAATATAATATCACTATGTTTATACCTAATCAAGATCCTAATTTCAGGATAAAGATGATAATCTTGTTCATTGGTAGAATCTAAACATACTAGAAGCGAGATGCGATAAATATGAACACCAAAAACTTCTTGATAGTATCATTAAGCTTGATCACGATCGCAACACAGAGCATGAATACATGAGCGACACCAATTTTCATCTGGTAGGCTAGATGATACAGCACCAATATGCCATCCGTATGAGGAATTCTAGCTTCAGGATTTTAGCTTTTGCAAAAAGATCACCCTGAAGGCAATGGCTTGTCCTAAGCATGTTGAGCATGATTTGAGAAAAGATGAAATAAGAAGTAACATTCGATGACAAGCTCAATCCAAGTTTTTCCTTGACTGTTAGAGAATTTAAGTCATCATTTTGAGTGGAATAGTATGTCGCACTACAAATAGATTTGATTTTCAAAAAACAAAATTGTCCGGTCAACGCAAATTCCATCAAATCAAATGTCAAGACTGAATGCTTAACAATAGGATTTAAAAAAGGCAGACCGATTTTTGGCTCATCTAATTCTAAGTTAAAGAACATTTTTTGACCTAAGGAAACACACCGATAATTGCATGGTGGAGAGTAGGCTAAAAAAAAAAGGTCAAAGGGCCACAACATGGCTGCATGCAAAAACTTCTATAACTTTATACACCCCAGAATCGCTATTACAATCACTTTTTGTAAATAATTTAAAATTGAAGGACATTGCCTCACCTTAATCACCTATTTTGAGGATACAATGTCAATGGAACTGTTAGAGAAGATACATTGGTAGATGAAGAACAGAATAAAAATTTGTTGGGAAACTTATCTTTTCCATATCAAACTTAGTATTGCCTTTGTAGTTGGTAGTGTGAGCTAATAGATACATTATCCTTACGAAGAACACCTGACGGTTATTTACCAAATTTTAAGGTATCTCAAAGGAACCCCAAGCTAAAGATTAATTTTAAAAAACAAATAAAGAGAGAGAAATTAGATCATTTACATATATAAACTGGGTTGTTCAAACTATGATGTTCAAACTATGATAGAAGATCAAAAACTAGCTACTGCACCTTTATATTGAAAAATATGACTTGGAAAAGCAATAAAATAAAATTAAAAAAACAGTATTAGTTGGAAGCAGTGTTGAGGAAGAATTTAGAGCTCTAGGTCAGAGAATATGTGAGTTGCTTTTTTTAAAAATATTGTTAAGTGAGCTGAAGTTTAAAGAAAGCTATCTTAGCCCTATGTAGATATGCTCTAACAAAAAGGTTGTTACTACTATTCCACGCAATCATATTCATTATAAATGAATAAAACATGTGGTACTTGATCAGCATTTCATCAAAAAAAAAGAAACAAGAAAACATGTATGTGAAACATATACGTTCAACGTAATAAGTTCTTGACTTATAAACCAAAGGTCTAATCAAACTGGTAAATACAAAGTTAGTTGGAAAGCTATGAATGTTCAACATGTGTAGCAAGTTAGAGGAGGGTTGTGAATTTCATTAATAATGCCATCTTTTCACAGATTCCACTGCAACTGCCATATTGCAGAATCTTCATTGCTATCTTATTGGTTCAAAAAAATTATAAATAAGTGCAAAATCCTACTTATAACAAATATTCATTATCAAGCAATGCAGACATATACCCTTATTTTCCCTAGTATGGATTCAATGAATGGACTGAAGCAAGCATGTGTCAGAGAACAGCTGTAGAAATATTATAACTATGATTTCCACTTGTTATTTAGCTTCTATTATATTCCAAAACAATTTTGGCGCTATTCTATAAACTACATTGTACCATGTAATAGAAGTGAATGAATAGATTTACTATTTTCAATTATGTTTCACTCCTGCTTGCTTATCAGCTCCTGTTTATGTTTTCTTACGCTATAACAAAAGCCTATTGGACCACAACACGGGCAGGAATTTCCAAGTTCATATATGGTAATTTTATTCACATCATTTTATTAGAAAATGACTCACTGATCCATGTGTATAAATACTACATAGTCAAATAGGCTTCACTGTTCATCTTTTTTTATATCAAAATGTTCTTTTTGACCCATATGACAAATGAGAAGCAAAAAGTTTAAAAACAAGGATGCATAAACAATTTATCAATGTATTAAATCTAAGATAAAATTACCATATTGCTTACATGGTTCAAGCACCATATCATGAACTTCTTAAAGTTATCTGCAGTTTGTGTGCGTTCATAATTAAGAATAGATCCAAGCTTATATTACTAAATGACATTACATTGTTAGAATCAAGCAACTGCAAAATCAACTTCTTTTAAATGATTTTGACACAACATAGCATAATCATACCAACCAAAAGAACGAATTAGTTAAGTATTCATTAATAATCCATAATATGTGTGAATAATGCTAAAAGTTAAAGCACCTGCAGCTAATATCATTCTCATTGTGGCAACCATCTTCAACAAAATAACTTCTATAGATTAGCCAAGCAGTGCGCAAGAATTTGAATGCCAAAATAGATTTAAAAAAAAACAGTAAATACAACTTACTCTATTGAAAGTAGCAATCAAATTAATTGGAACCCAACCATTGCTATCCATTTTGGATCTCAGGAATAAATCCTTGCACAAGTTATCTGCACTGCAAACAATAAAAATTGACTGTCAGTAAATCAAATAAAGATATCTCAAATGTGGGACAAACTTACACAGCCATACCTGAAGTAATACTCGATTTGCTTCAATATCAAAGTGCGTTTTTGTTCTGCAGATGGGAAAAATATGGGCTGCTGTGTTGGAGGAGGTGCTGGTTGTGGAACAAATGGATACCCTCCAAGAAGTTCGCGTTGTGGGTAAGTTGGGAAAAAATACATTTGAGGTGGAATATCTGAAAAATGATACAAAACGCATCAAATAGATATGTTTATAAGAAAATATTGAGGATGAGCAATGCAAGACAAAAGCTCACCAGGGTAGAACATGAGACCAGGGAAATGTTGGAAAAGCGGAGGGCCAAAGAATGGCACCATAGCAGGCATGTGTGGTCGCATGACTGGCAGGCTTGGGTGACTCCGCGGCATGTGGGAGTCTCTAACAATCGGAGGCCTATAAGAATTCCAATCACGACCACCACGGCCCTCATCACGCTTGCTTCCATAGTTGCCCCTGCGGCTGTTGCCACTATGTCTCCTTCGTCGATCCCCTTGATCGACCCAGCCATGAGACTCCCGCGGGCGGTGGTCCCAATTGCTGCAATTACCATTATCAGGCTGTCTTTCTGCATTGTTCTGAGAGATTTCCGCCGAACTTGAAGAAGGCGATGTGGGTTCACCGTTACTGGAAAAGCTACCACTGGTTCCAACGTCATCACCACTATTTCCACCGTCACGGTTAGCAAATTTCCGCTGCATAGGAAGGGAGTTCGACCCCTAATGCCAAATACAATCGAATAAAATGATTAATAATTATAAACCGAGACATATATGTTTCCACACAGAAAAAATAATAATAATAATAATAATAAAAGATAAGAAATCAAACCAGAGCAGCGGATGATCCGTCCAATGAAGCTTTGGTAGAGGCTTTGGCGGATTCCGATAGACCCGGCCAAGAAGAGGGACTTCCCAAAACCGCCGGAGCAGTATCAATAGCTCCATTTGTCGGCCTTCCCCATGCCGGCTTATTTCCTCTCTCGGATGCAGGAACATCAGAAGCATTGCCGCCGGTGAAAAAAGAAACGGAATCTCGCGCATGTTCTCGCCGATCAGAAGGAAGAACGGCTGGCTCCGGCGCGGGTATCGCCGTGGCTATCGAATGAGACGGAGAGATGGAATCTGCCTCGGATTCCGCGCGAAAGACGACGAACGCAGTGCGAGGGCCTTCAAGTTCCGAAACCAGAGACATGCTTAGGGTTCTCGCGCCGCGTCGGAGTAGGAAGAGGATTGGCAGAGAAAAGATTAGACTAATACAAGCTTTGGGAGGGAATCAGAGAAAATGCGAAACTCCTCCTTATGAAACCGCCGCTCGATCGTGCACTTTCTTCTCCTCCGCATTCCCCTCCCAATCTCTCATGGAGAAGCCCAGACAGCAAAGGAGTCCTCCAACTTTTACGGGAAGAATATATTTAGATGGAAGTATAATTAAAGCAAATTTACATGTAACATACTCGCACTTTCTTTTATTTACATATCTTTGCATTTATAATATTACAAAAACATTTGCTTCCATACAACTTAATTCTTATGCATTTATCTATCTAACACCTTAATTTTATTTTATTTTTTACTTTTATGCCTTCTTAATTATGCATGAAAAATATATTTCACTTCTTAAAAATGATTGTAGTATTGAAACGTTACAAAAAAAAAAAGTTATTCAAATTATGATTTATCTATTAATATGATACGTGGGTGCTATTTACTATTGATATATTAAAATATATTGATAGAATTACTTTTAATAAATAAATGTTAATATTTATAATCATATTGATATTAAACTTATAGTTTTATGAATATCTTTATAATTAAAAAAAAGGATTAATTATTGCATAATTTAGTTTTTATTATCATTGTCTGTCTACGCGTGGGAGGGTGACAAAAGATATAGTATCTTTATAATAATTGGCCAATCATGCGCTCGCCCTTTGAGAAAATTGATGATGATATGAGTTGTGGGGTCAAGTGGTAATTCAAATATTTGCATAAACTCAATGAATCAAATATGTTTTTTTTTTTGTCATATTATATTAAGCATGTGATGAACGATATTTACAATCATATGTCTAATGAGCAAATTGAGTTCCAAGTACATGAAATTTTTAAAATATGTGAATTATTTCGAGTATAGTACCTATATGGTATTATCATACTTATTGAGTCTAACATGAGAGAACTGAGAATCTATCTGTGTTCAGCTCATTTACATTGAAAGCCGATCAAAAGCGGCTTATGTTCGAATTGGGCTCGTAATGAGTTTGTTGGTGCTCGGCTCGATATTGTTCAAACTTATCAAAATTGTTTGTGATCTGGCATTCTATTGCTCGAATTTGTTCGTGAGCAACTCGAAACAGACTTGCCAGTCAAATCCGCTTGAGCTCGACTCATGAGCCAGCAGTCCATGCGAGGAAGCAATTATGAGCATATATTGCTCAAATAACAGGTTCTCTACATTTAAATGTCTCTAAAACTGCAAGTAAAATTTTATCATAGATGTGAGAAACAAACATAAGAGTAGACCGTGAGATAAGAATGAGAATATGGTAATGTGGCTTGGATTTTATTATTATTATTATTATTTGACATTTATAAATATATCATCCACTTTCTATGTATTTACATATTGTGCACACAACAACCAATTCCTGTGTATTTGAATATATAACACCCACACTTTACTTTTTTTTACATTTATACAACTCAAATATCTTATATGTATTATTTTAAATACAATATAAAAAGTTAATATAAAAAGGATATAAATAAATATAATTATCTAGTTATTACAAGCCAAAATGAGTCAAATACGAACGAACAAATTTTCCTTTTGTGTTAAATCAAGCTCTAAAAAATTGTTCATTTTCAAATTAACTTGTTTAACGAATGAATCGAACATGATCGACTTAACAATACAAACACTAGCTACTCGGCGGTTTAACTCGACTAACCACAATGTGATCCAAATAACTCCAAAATAGAGTATCAAACAACAATAACTCAGTCCAAAGAGTAACCGGAATGGCACTATACTCAGACTTAATGGAAGGAGTGCCGAAATAGGAAGCACATATTGATGGAATTACTAAATTAATGAAAAATTTACGTGCATCATTTAATTTCTATGTATTTACATATCTAATACCCAAACTTCAATTTTTATATACATACCTCCTTTCGTATTTAAGAAAACACTTTTTTAAAAGTTTAAATTGATAGCGTTTTTGTGATATGAAAGATTTTGGTGGTGAAAATGTAAAAACAAAGTGAACGTGTTACGTTTGTAAACACAGAAGAATCTAGTTTTGTGCATATAAATGCCCCTAAATAATAGAGGTGTAAGGGGTGCTCGAACAAGCTGTAAGAATTTCGAAAAAATAAAATTATGCAGGAACAATTAGCCTGCCCCAAAATAAAATAAATAAATAAATGAGACATTTACATGCATAGCACACAATTCTTCTGTATTTACATATCTGACACCTAAACTTTCGTATTTACACACATAACGCTCAAATCTTCAATAATACATCAAAAGCAGCACTATTATCACTTTTTATAAGTCAAATACATATTTTTATGCATAGGTTTAAAATTCCAATGTGCCATGTGGGTAAATATGAAGGTTTAGGTATGAGAAATGTAAATACATAAGAGCTGAGTGCTACTCATATGCACAACAAATGGCAGAGCAGGGCTGATTTATATGGCCGCTAAAAAATATGAACTCTTGGGATGCCTGCAAATGGCAAGTAGCAGAGTAATAAAATGAAGCTGCCCATGTACACACGGCAATGAACAGTACTTAAAAGGCCCTAACATTTGATTCAGCTTTCATCACTGATTTTTTGAATACACATAACGCTCAAATCTTCATGGTATGTGGGCAAAAGCTTGAAAATTAGACGCGAAGGGAAAATCCTGCAGGGGAACAAGTATAAGGAAAGTTGTGCAGAAGTTAAAAGCTGACGATTGCGAGGACCAGATTGGGTTCTTCGATTCTCTTGCAGGCTTTGTCGCATGAACGAGTTCCGAGAAGGACCAATGATCAGCCTAATGATCAACTTACTGGGCATCCATTTACAGAGGACTTTCATGCCAGAGGGAAGGAAGCACCAATGATCAGCCTCATGCAAAATAAATCAAAATATCCAAAAACTTTTTTTTTTTGATGAAAAAGATATTTTGAGCATAAAAATGATGAAAATGGATGCAAAACTTTCTTATATTTAGAGAAACATCACCATCATTAGCCTTAACATGAGAATATTAACTAATGTTTGTTCTTCTTTTAAACTACTTTTATTATCATACTTCATTGGTGCATCTTTTTGGCCTTTATAATATATATATATAGATAACAATATAATATAATTATTTTTTGCACCATCACTTTTAATATTTCTAAACATCCATTCTATCATTCTCATTTGTGTCACACTCAAAATGATTTCTTCATCATGCAACACTCATGAGTCATAAAACATAGCCAAATAATTATAATTTGATAAAATTTACTTTCTAATCTCAGTGATAATCTTTTATACCAAAATACATGGGAGACAACTTTCACTAAAGTTAGTATATAACAGTTTTATGTTTAATACTAGTTACTTTCATCATCTCGCTAGTATGATTATTCCTTAAGCCAATATTTTTATATTATCATGTAACTATTTTTGACATTTTCATTCGCGTCACACTCAAAGTAACTTTTTAGTTAGCTAGCACTTAAATTCATTTAAGATTGCCAACTAAGTACAACTTCATGAAATTCATCAACTCTCAATAAAAATCTTTTATGCCAGAGTACTTTAATAGACATCTTTTTCATAAAAAAAAAACCAAACATTAGCATTTCATCGTTTCTTTCCTCATTCTTTTTAATTAAAACTCATATCTAGGCATCACTTCATATTTTAGAATCATAGAATCGTTATATCAATGTCACACTAACTACAATTGTAAGCTTTTAATTCTATTTTAGAGCAGCTCAATCTATAAAAGCTCATACCTCTCCTAAAATTTTTCTTGATTATTGAAAGTATCCCAACAAAGCAAAAGAATGTCATAAAAAATAGCAAAAACCTAGATGCCTATCTTAAATAACTTGGTTAAAAATCTCAATAATCAATACAATAAAGATACATATTGGAATTAGGGCTGCCAAAACGGCTCGTTGTTCGCGAACAACTCATGTAGACTCATTAACAAGCTCGTGTTTGGCCTGTTCGCTAAGTTAACGAGCCAAACACAAACAAAGATATATATATGTATGCATATTGATGAGTAGTTTTTAAAAAAAATTAATTGACTACAAGGCTACAATAATATATAATCAATTACAAGTGTTAATTAAGAAAATGGAATAAAAATTATTAAATTTGATTCAAATGATGTTTTAAATATTGCCCCAATCATTAACATCTTATGGCTATGTGATTAGGGTTGTCAAAACAACTCTTCAATAACATCTTATGGCTACATGATTGGGGTTGTCAAAACGACTTATTGTTCGTGAACAGCTCGTGTCGGCTCGCTAAGCAAATGAGCCGAACACAAACACGAACTTTTTTAGCTCGAAATATAAACGAGCCGAACATGAGCTAAGCCTGGGCTCGCTCGTGTTTAGCTTGTTTAGACCCCTAATTGGAATGTTGATTCCCTGCTAGAACTAAAATTTCTTATCACTCCACAACTACTTGTACAACTAATCAATGCTCTATCATAAATATTATTTATAGCAATTTTAACACACAAAACGGCTCTTTAATGCCACATTTTTCAAGATCAATAGGGTGTGATGATTCCAATCCCCCACCAAAAGAGCCAAAGCACAAACATACACCCGCAGCATGAAATCCAACATCCACTTGATTTAACATTAATCCTCCAAAACCTTTCCTCTAAGTGAAATGGCTTGCCACTTCTTATATGGTTGTGTATAACTCTTTAGTTAATTAATTAAAAATACTTTAAAAGGTACAAAAAAAATTATATGTGAAAAAGAAAAAATGAATTCCTTTTCAAGGATTAGCACATATTATGCACAAGTTTAATCAATTACAGTAGCTAAAGGGCCTAGTATTCATCCATTCACTTTCATTTTGTCTTTAAATTCTATTCATCATTCACCTTTTCGTTTGATGTTTGTTACTTACCGTTAAAGTTGAACTTTTAAATGTGTGACCTAAGAGGATGGATGAATGATGACTCGTCAAGGTTAAGCCATGGATAAAAGATGATTGAGATTAAATAGGCACAATTTCAATTAATTTATTGAGGTAAAAAACTGATAAATAGTCATGTCCATCTCAAGTTGATTAGAATTACACTTTTACTCCACATCTCTATTCGAAGACATTCTCATTCATCTGAATTGTGCACATAGAAGTTTTGAAAAAATTGCATGGACCGCTGCACATTTAATATGCTAAAGTCATATTATATTCCATTTCTATTACATTCAAAGTGCATTTTTTGCATTAGGATATTCTTTCTAGTATTATTGACTTTTTAATAAATTATTCATTATTTTTAATATTCAGCACTATTTTAAAAATAATATGCACCATAATATATTTTGTGTTATAGCTCCACAGGATAACCATGCTCTATTGACAACTATGAAAAAACCACATAAAGCATACATAATCTATGAATTAACATCCATAAGAGATCTCTAAAATAAATTAATGCACAATGAAGTGGATTCACTGACGTAGAAAGTACATTTTTGTACGCCCAAAGTGATTGTCTCATCCCTCTAAATATTACAATGGCAAAACCTAACATAAGAAAAGATTGTATAATATAATTATCTCGAATAAACTCACCCTCAACTAGAAACCTCGTGTTCTAAAATCATGAAGCTTACATACAAATAATGAAAGTAAAGCAACTCCACCTGAAAGTGCGCCTTAAAATACAAAATCCACCAACTCTCTATGCATTCATGAAAGCCAAACACACCCCTGCAAAGTTAAGGGCTTCAGCATCTACATAGAACTCTTAAACCACACCATTGAAGTAATAAAAAAAATATAAGTTACTTTCTGAGGTTTAATACAAATTTATTTTTTGTCAACTTTCTAATCACACACCATGCATCCAAAATTTTATGGCGCAATAACCAATCATCTTGCATGCCATATTGTTTCTTAGATTAAAATAGCCACTAGGGCATGGCTCATAGTTAAAAAAACAATCTTATAAAGATGCACACAAGAGTAAATGAACAATACAATGATCTATCTCCATTAATCGATAAGAAAACATAATGCACATTTTGAACCAAAGCAATCTAAAATATGACTCGCATTTAAAGTCTTTTCCTCATCATATTTATCATTAACATGCTTCTTTTTTCTCTTCGAAGCATGAGCATGACAATTTTTTTTTATTCCCCCATTGTCCTTGCAATAGAAACAACTAAAATTTTGTTGCTATTAGCTTATTTCCATCACAAAAAAAGATGGACCCCATCTTAAAAGATCTCCTCAGAACTAATAACCCCCAAAACGACTTTTCTTCTCCACATATTTAGCAATAGCATCTTTAATAAAAACAAAATCTTAACTTATAAACTGATTAATCCCTCTCACACAATATAATGTCATAGAAATGCTTATACTAAAGGAAAAGTGTGTAATCGCAACAAAGTTAGATGTTCATTACCAATCTTCACATCAATATTCCTCAAATCCCAAACAGTGAAATTAAACAAACTAGATATGATTTAATCAACATACTTTCATATAAGTAATAAACACAGTCCCTACTACTAGTAAATTTAAGCTTTTAATCATGGACAAAAACTCCAAGTTGAGTCACAACCCCTCGTGGTTATGCCATTCAATGTCTCTTAAAACTATATCTACCAATCAGAACTAAATAGCAAATAAAGTTTTTATCTATAGTCTTAGGTATATCTCAATGTCCAAGGAACCTTCACAAATATCTACTGCATCAGAACATCACAAATCTTTGTTCTTTCAAAGCCAAAACTGTTTGAGTGTCAATTTTTTTTTCTAACTCGAACTTCATAGATGAGTATTCTTTACTAATTACAGGTACTAATTAATAAGAAAAATACCTAACAATTCATTAGGTTCTCATATTAATAATATTTCAAAATCTTATCCACCAAACACAATTAAATTTCCAAGAGGACTTATTCATTCATTTTTATATGCCTTATTACTCATTGTCTCAAACATATTAGAATATATCAAGCGAATTCACAAATCTCTACCTGATTTGAAAAACGCGCATCATATTTCTTCAAAGCCCAAAACTCTTTATGCCATCAAAATTTACAATCTCAAACATTAAGGATGGCATGTTTCTTATTAAACTCAAATGCCAATTCTAGGAAAAAAAACAATTCTTATTTCAACCAGTGAATACAGTGAACATACAAAATAACTATAAATAAATAATGCACCGCAAAAATAACACTAAGATTTATGTGATTTGACTAAAATAAGTCTCTATTCATGAAAGAGGAAAGACTATCTAATCCGCTATAAAGAAGTAACATGAATGTATAAAATAAATTGGGCACAAAAGATATTCATTTCTAAACCTAAGTACTATGATTTGAGCCTTATACCTTCATTTTGAAGATGAAAGGAAATATCAATCACCCAATTAGTTAGTGTTTCAATAGAGAAAATAAACAAAAAGGAATTAAAATAATACCAATAATCACCAACTTTTCAAGAGAGATAATACGATTTGGGTTCATTGAGATGATCATCGCCACCAAAAATTAAATTTTCTATCAACTATTTTCTCTTTATCTCTTCTCCTATAGTACTTCTCTGGTATACCAAGGTATAGATTCATCAATTAAATTCCTAGTAGCTTAGTATATTCTATTGAAGGCTAAGGAATCTCGGACAGCCTTGTTTCCCAAGCTATTCAAATAGAAGACCAACATGGATCAATTTACAAGAGAATTCCATGCACCCAACACTGCTGAATTTCACCTATTTATAAACTATTAAAGAGGTGGCTTCAAAGAACTCATCAAAAACTGATTTTATCTCAAAAAAAAATAAATAATTTATTTTAACCTAAAAACTATATTTTCCATTTGGCTTGTCCTAGAAAATGATCAAGCTAACATAAAAATAAATAGAATTAGCAAAAGAAGATGAAATTTTCAATAAACAGGGTTTCAGGCAATCAATCCATGATTATATTCAAAATAGTCACAGATTTATATAAATATCATTGCTCTATTAGCATCTACAAATGCAAAAATCAGCCAAACCAACTGAAAAATAAGATGCATGTCTATAGAAGCATTCAAATAGCCACTGGAGACTGATAAAACAACAAAATGTTTAGGTTTCATCAATAATACAATATTCTCATTTTTAAATAAAGCAGTATAGTTAATTTCAACCATTTATTCTATAGAATTCCTTAAATCATAATCAAGCTCAGGAAATAAGGTGTTGTCTGGCAACAGATAAATTTTAAGGTATTAGGATTTAGTAAATCCCGTAAATTCGGATTTACTAAATCTTGAACGTGTTAAATCCGGAAATCTGTCTAGCAATAGATTTATTAAATTCTGTAAACAATTTCTGAAAGAATTTAAGAAGTTGTTATGGTTGTTTGAGACGGTCGGAAGCCTGTGAACTTAAATCTCAAGCCCCCCAAAGTTAAATCCACCGGTTCGTGGGATTTAGGATTTACGGGATTTATGGCTGAAATCTAAGAAATATGGATGTACGGAATCCGGGATTTATTTTGTCCAACATGACCATCTAGCAGGATTCCACTTAATCCTTAAATCCTACATAAATCCTAGACTAAATCTGTTGCGAGCGAGCCCCTTAAAGACAAAGCAGATAAATCCAGGCCTGAAAAGTACTTTCGTTCGCATAGAAATTGATATTTATAAAGCAAATATTTTTAAGACAAGGCCAGTAAAAAAAAAAAAAGCCTAATTTTGTGCCCCTTTAAATTTCTCAAGACATGCAGATTAAAGAAATTTTAAATAACAGAATCTGCAATAGCTAGACTGTTCTATATCTGATGGAGTATCCAGAAGCCAAACGAAACGTTTTAATCTATTAAACAAACAGCATATGGATACACGAAACTGAGGGAGTGATCAAGTGTAAAGTTACACGTTTTTTAGGACATTCCTTCTTGCGAGAAATCTGGCAATCGGCGGCGTCAGCCCGATCGTGATTGGAACACGGATAGGGAAAAGCGCCTTGTTGCAAAGGATCGCTAGCGCCAACGCACCACCACTCGATGCCGCAAGTTCTGCTGTCCGATTTTTAAGCCGAGGCTGCTGCTCCCCTTGGTCGACGGCAGTGGGAGGAGGGAACTCGTGGTCTTCCAGAATAACAGACGTAGGATCTTCTGTGGATGCTCCACTGTCTCCCGAAGGAGACTGATGGTGAGGAACTGTGGAGGAGAGTCCAAACTTCTCGAAGAGGGACTCAACCTCCACATTGTTTTTTATGGCAACGTAGAATCCTGTGATGGAGGCTGCGGACACAGACAGATGGACGCCGAGGGCCACCTTTCCGTACTTCTTCATCAGATCTCGTAGCCGGCCGGAGAACGCCATAGATGGACTGGAGACTAGTGCCTGGTTTTCTGGTTTTTAGGGTTTTAGGAGAGTCCTTGTGTTTATTGTATTGACGAGGTATAACGTGGAAAAGTCGAAAAATTATTCGGTCAGATGTATTTTGGTGGGTCTAATTAAAATTTTTTTTAAAAAAAATAGTTAAAATAATTCTGGCCGTAGATCACCGTGATCTACAGTCAGGATCGGACAGTATTGACGAGGTATAACGTGTAAAAGTCGAAAAATTATTCCGTCAGATGCATTTTGGTGGGTCTAATTAAAATTTTTTTAAAAAAAAATAGTTAAAATAATCCTGGCCGTAGATCACCATGATCTACGGTCAAGATCGAACACCGCATACATCTCGCATGCGGTGTCCGTACGCAATAATTTCTCCGAAAAGTCCCGGTTAGAAATAAAAAAATCAGTTTTCTAAGTTTTATTATTATTATTATTATTCAAAAGGAATGGCTAGAGCCTCTCACAACCCCTAATATGTCCAACAATTCGAATACGACTAATCTGAAGAGTCTTATATTGTGGATGTCAACCAACGCACAAAAACATGCGGCACAATTTTCTAAGTAGCATGTACATTATATATAAGATATCATTTTCTCAAACATATTTTAGATCAAAATACACCCATTTTTACTACATAATGCATATTTAGGTTTCATTTTAAGGAGCTTCATCTTCATCGATGCTTCTTTAATAATCATGTTGTCAAAACAATGGAGCTAATCTGAGATCTAAAATAATGAAAACTTATCGTTCTAGTAAAATAACTTCATGAGACGTTTAGGGAATGGTGTTTCACCAAACAAAAACTTTTGCACTTGCCGGCGTTCACTGCAATGCAACAGAACTTCACCATCATTCCAAATGAAGCCTTAAAGTTCATCACAATGGACATTAATATAATAAAAAAAATCAAATAATATTTAATAAGATTAAAAAAAATCATTTTAAACATGTTGGAACATAATTTGTTGATGATTAACAACATTATATATGATAGGTTGTATTCTAAAAGTTATAAAAATACAACAAACAATAACAACAACAAAACCTTTATCCCACTAAGTGGAGTCGGCTATACGAATCCTTTTTCTCCAGTGGGTCATATTTAGTGTCATATTTTCATTTAAGTCTAATAAATTAAGATCATTTTTATACAATATGCCTAAGTCATTCTAGGTCTACCTCTCCCTTTCTTAACATAAGTCGAATCTAAAACATCTACTTTTCTAATCAAATAATCACATGGTCGACGTTTAATGTGATCAAACCATCTAAGACGATTCTTTAATTTTGTTCGTCACTGGAGCTACACCAATCCTATCATGAATATATTTATTTCACATTTTGCCTCTAAGTGTAAAGCCACTCATCCACCTAATCATTCTCATCTCGGCAACACTTGACTTAGTTTTATGCTTCTATTTTAAAGGCCAACATTCAGTGTCATAGAGCATTGCAGGTCTCGCCACCATCTTATAAAAATTTTCTTTCAGTCTAAGCGGTACTTTTCTATCACACAATAGGCCCAAAGCATTCCTCCACTTCAATTAACCAACTTGAATTCTACTAATAACATCCCCAACAATATCCCCATCACATTGAACAATAGACCCAAGATATCTAAAGCGTTCACACCTTTTAATAATTTGATCACCCATAGTTGCATTTCTGTCACTAGAGCTACTACTACTGAAATTACATTCCATGTATTCAGTTTTAGTTCTACTCAAAAGAAAACCTTTAGACTCAAAGGTAAACCGAAGTGTCTCCTGAGTTTTTTTCTCTTGTCTTATCCACGAGAAGGATATCATCAACAAAAAAACATACACCAAGATACATCATTCTGTAAGTATCAGGTAAGACCATCCATAACTAAAGCAAAAAAGTTATGGGCTTAAAGCCGATCCCTGATGTAAACCAACCGAAATAGAAAATTGTTTGGTCAATCCTCCTTCCGTTCGAACACAAGTAAGAGTTCTTGTATACATATCTTTAATGAATTGAATATTATTAAAATGATCAAAATAATAGAGTACAACCGCAATAAATATAACACAAAAAAATTTTAAACTACATGACACATTAGAGAACTATTGTAACCACTTTGTTAAAAGCTTATAAAATGATAACTTTTATATTAAATCTAAGTTGTAAACATAACAATGATAAACATTATCTCATTCATGCTATTTTAATAACTAACACATCAAATTCAAATAATTATAATATTCTTACAATAATTGCAACACTTGTGATAAATATTATCTCATCCACGTTATCATAATAAATAATACATTAAACTCGAGCAACTATTACATTCTTACAATCATAACAAGAGTAAAATATAACTTTTGTAAGATGCCTTCTAAATCAAATACGACTTGATGGCCTTTTAGGAGCATCCTAATAAAACCTTTATCGTGTATCGCTATAGGGCGTAACCAAGTTATATCCATGCTGGGCAATTACCCCTTTGGAATTTACAATTTATCGATATAAATAGTTAAAGTTAATATTTGTTTTTATGTAGTTTAGGTAATTTAGTATTATTGCCAAAATCGGGTAGATCTGTCATTCTTTGTACATGAAATAAACTCCCTATTTATAGGATAGAGTGCACAACATGACGATATTACATTTCTACACCTATTTTAATGAGGGGTGTATTCAGGTATTTTACATATATTAGCATATTGTTCGGCTGCTGGCTAGCTCATTCGGGTGAGTTTGTTTGGCTTCGGCTCCACAGGACCGGTTAGATCAATTGGACTTTATTTATGTTGTCGATCAGCTGAGATTAATTGGCTACGGGTCAGCAGGATTGACTTGATTGGCTGAATTAGTCTGGTTGATGATAGATGGAAGAGCCTCTGGACACTTCCAATATGATTGGAGGGGGTAGAGGGACTAGATCTTCCATTGAGTTGGCTTCTTCATATCGGTCGACTTAGATGCAGAATGGCTTAGATTTGCGTCATTCGGTCGCTTTTGCCTTGCTTTCTCTATAACTCACACGACTCCTAGTCTTCTGTCTGTGAGTCCTTCTTTGTTGTACTCTCCTCCTTTTGTACAATTAAATCTTCTCAGCGTTAGCACAAACATTTTTAATGCACAGTAATATAGCTTCAAGGTTTCAAAGATCTAGGATTCATTTTGTCTGAATATCCATTCTACTTATAAAAAGGCATTGTTTTCAAAAGAAACAAACAAAAGTTTAGCCTGATAGCCTGTTACAGAACAGTAGCTAGAGTAATTCAAATATTAGATTTGCTTTTCATAAAGTTCGGTGACAGACCGAAAGCCCAAGCATCAAATATGTTAACAATACCAAATGCTGTAAATTAGATTGAACGGAATTGAACTGTTAAACTACCCTATTTTGATGATACACATTCCATGTATTTGGACTTCCACTGGAACTTCCATATCCAGTAAGCTGCATTGTTAAATCCACAGATAAGGTTCTAATATTGCACAGAATTTGGAAAATACAAAGCGCAGTATACAATCCCGAAAGAGACTGAGTATCAAAATACTCCACAAATCTTTTGCAAGGAGCCATTTTAGTGCCAGAGTTTACAAAAGTGTTTGATTAGTCCTCGAACTCTTTTAATCAAGGCTGAAATAGGGACCAATTCAACCCCAAATTAAAAAAGTTTCCACTAACTTGTATGTTCTGGACTAAAATGTTATCATATAAATAGTGAGGGGATTATTTCAGACACTTCACTCAATTGGAAAATATATTTTTTAATCTGCTCAAACGTTGTGAATTTAAAGATCTCCCACTGTCAGAAGGTGCTCTTGTCATCTAGTGCAATTTCCACAAGCTGAAGGTTTCCCTGAAGTGAGGAAGCCTTACAAGATGGAAGGAAAGAGAAACCATCCAAGAGTTTTAGGCATTTCAACCCCCATTTCGCCATCAAGAACTCAATCAGATGATGACCGCTGCATTCCAGAATTGCGTCAAGTGCTTTGTTCAAAAGTTTGTAATATATAAAACAGATAAAAGTAAGAGGCCGGTTGGGATTACTTTTGTTTCTTATTTTCTATTTTTTACTTATATTTTGATTTGAAATAAAAACATGTTTAACATATTTGATTAAGATTGATTTTAAAAACACTCAAACCATATAGAAAAATAATTTTGAATATTTTAAAAAATATGTTAAATTATTTTAGAAACAAAAAAAAAACAACACATACATTTTAAAAAATTAAAAAAATAAATAAATAACAAAAAACAAATTTGTTCCCAAACAAGCCCAATTACAGAGTAAAACAGGCACCTGCGGTTATGATATGTAGTGATAAATACAGTTCCTTGAGAATTTTGCAGGAGGAAAGTAACCGTTGCAAAGAGATCATCAAAAGCTTAGGAAGCACAATTCCAATGTTAAGTCAGCTCAAACATATGAAAGAATAAGTAGAAAATGTCAGAGCTGTGTCAAAATTAACCCACCAGTTGAATCATAAAATACATCAGCTCCAAGAATTATATGAGGGTGCAATTCAAACAAAGCAGCATCCCACTCTCCCCATGTGAGGCCAAGTACCTAAACAATCAAAAGGGAAAATAAATATCAATAATGCAAAGAAACAGGAATTTTTCAAACCTCAGAAGCACATAATTTAGGCAGGGGTAGCAATAACCTTGCAGTCAAGCTTATTAAGATTGCATATTCGCTGCATGTTCTCTACCACCTGCAGTCCAGCCAAAAGAAGAGAACAATAAATCCAAAGGAAGATTCACATACATATCGCTCAGTTTCTACGTATTTGCATGTCAACACCTAAACTATAATTATTATATACATGCCAACTTTACCTTTTTAAAAGTCAAAATGAAGGTTATTTTGATGTGATATGAAAGATTGGGTGTTTAAGTAAAAGTTTTGGCGCTAGATATGTATTACTTAGGTTGCATGTATGTAAATGTCCCAATTCCAAAATGCTTTGCAAGAGAGCCATTTCTTTTTGAACAGATTCGAGACAAGTTCAAGTAACAATATGGTTATGGTTCAGCATCCACTTGGTACAACACCAAGGGTTTGGGCCAACAAGAGGCCGTTTGCCGAACAAGTCCTTTCAAGTCATTTAGTTGCCTCAATCGAAAACATTTCTTTTTTATTTTCATTGTGACACATTCTTGCAAATTTTTTAAGGCTAGTTAACGGCAAATAAAGTTTTTGGTTAGATAATATCTACCCATTATTTCTAAGACTGAATTCTTGATCACTTTTCAATATTTGGAGAATTTTGGAAGCTTTGCTTTCTCCTTGTAAAAGTGAAAGATTTGTATATTATCTCTTTTGATGAATATTATCCTTGTTCCTCTTCACTCTTAAATATTTTATTAATTTCCTGGATGGGGGACTAGTCATAATGAGTGGGTGACTTTCAAAGTGTTAGTGTGACTTTCTTGATCCAAAGTTACTAATATAAGGTCATTAAATTGATTTCCACTGTATTTTTTATTTTCCTTGGCGGTTATAAAAATTGCAAAAGATTCATGGTTTGTGAACTATGCATCTTATGTCCTTATTGCAGGAATTTTCTAAGTTTCATATCAGATTTACATTAGAAACCATAAACCATACAGCATCCTACATCTAATCACAGCTTAACTCCTTCATTCTTAGTGCTCAACAAAGCATAGAAAAAGGGTCCAAAGTCAGCACAACCAAAAAAAAAAAACAATTTCAGATGTTGAATAGCAGAAAATTGTAAAATAACAAGCTCAAAAAAGCCTTCAAAATTTATCAACGCACAGAACCACCTGCCTATTCAGGACAGTTTCCTTAGTTTCTCATTTCCTGTGTCAATTTTAATGTGTATTTACAGTTGGTTGTGAAATAAACTTATTCATGTTTAAAACATGTTCAGGTAAAAAGATTTATCTTTTACTAGTAAAAGAAGCCAAGAACCTGCAATAGAAAGAGACTCTTGACGTACATCTGGTTTGCGCAAATCATCCGTCAATGTTACATCAGCTCCGACTTTAGCAGCAACTAAACCAGGCAGGGATGTTCCAGCGCCTAACTGTACGAGAAAAAAAATGAATAATTTTAGTGTATAAAACTACATTATACAAAGCCACCTTCAAAGCTACCTTATATGAATCAAATGTCAAGGTTTAGAACATTTGGTAGAGAAAAGTTATAAAAAATTTCAGCGAAGAGAATTGGACCTTTCAATCCATAAGGTGTTAGCACTTCACATAAACAAAAAAATTACAAGTAAAAATATACCTTTTATGATTGTTTTCTATCCGTCTCAGTTGAAGGTACTAATATCCAACAAGCACACTTTATGTGGAGCTCCATATATACCTCCAATGGAGGTGCAAGCTTGCCTAGCACTGTCATTTTACATAGTTGATCGACTTAATAGTGAGATATACATTTCTTTTTGTTTTGAAATATTTTTGTTATATGACTCTTAATTGGCTAATTAAGGCAATGCAAACTTGTGATTATCTTAGAAGCTTCTATGGTGAACCGGGTCTACTTGGGAGGCCTCGTCTTGTTATAAACAGATGAGGGAGGCTTGGTCTACTTGGTCTACTTGGGAGGCCTCATCTAAGAATGAAATCAGATCAAGAAGGCCAAGAAGAGGAAGAAAATCAGTCTAAGAAGAAGAAGAAGGGGAAACACTGCAAGAATTAAGGGAAAGGAGAAAGAGTCTTAGATCTTGTATCGAGATAATTTCAAGAGGAAGAGATCTAGAGGTGTGCTCATTCCTCGATGTAAAAAAAGTCTTGTAATTCTTCTTTGCCTTAGTGGATTTGTTCGTGATTCTCTCCCGTGGATGGAGGTCTATGGACCGAACCACGTAATTCGTTGGCGTTCTTGTGTTCTTGTTGCGTTTCATTTTCTGCAGTTATTTCTTTCCATTTTTTCTTTGTATCTTGCTTGCTGCGATTTCTCATTCAGCTGTCCAGATTCTGCAATTCGATTCTTCGGTAGTTCTGTTATCTAGCTACAGGGATTTAGCCGAAGCCCAAGCTTAGCGAGGCGAACTGCAGGTGCTCTTATCACAGCACTTAAAGGTCTTCGGGTGTCCAGATTGCAGCCTGCAGGTAGTCTTCTGACTGCAGACTATTCGGTAGTCTAAGGATAGAAGAGGTATCGGCACTGGCAGCAAATTCAAGTTCCAGGGCTACAATTAGTTTGTTATTGGAAATGCAACAAGGAGTTTCGGCTTTCAAGAAAGGGGTTCTTTGGATTGTTGGGTAATCGAACTGCAGCCCAACAAGGAGTTGGACACTTCTTTCAGCAGTGTTCTTCAGCAGATTTTTTTTATTTGGCAATTTGGTTATTCAGTTCTTTCCAACTCACTCAATTCGCATGAGTTCTTTAGAATATTTCAAGTGTTCGGTGGGGCAAGATTTACAACAATTGGTGTCATCTATGGGAATCCGAGCCACGACAATGGGCTCCACCAAATTCGACATCGAGAAATTCACGGGAAAGAACGACTTCGGCCTGTGGAGAGTGAAGATGAAAACACAATTGGTGCAGCAAGGCGTTGCAGAAGCCTTACAAGGCCCGACGGCATTGTCGGCCGACATGACCGAGAAAGAAAAAAACGAAATTTTGGACAGGGCTCACAACTTGATAATCTTGAGCCTTGGCAATAAAGTTCTGAGAGAAGTTTCGAGGGAGACGACGGCTCAAGCGCTTTGGGCCAAGCTCGAACTACTCTATATTTTCTATATGACGAAATCTTTGGCTAACAGACTCTTCTTGAAGTAACGCCTGCACCTCTATATTGGCTAACAGACTCTTCTTGAAGTAACGCCTGCACTCCTTCAAGATGCATGAAAGAAATCCGTCTTAGAGCAAATCGATGAGTTCAACAAGATTATTGACGATCTTGAAAATATCAATGTCAAGATGGACGACGAGGACAAGGCACTGGTACTACTAAACTTTAATCCTAAGAGCTACGAGCACTTCAAAGATGCGATGCTCTATGGAAGAACGCAAACAATCTCTCTAGAAGAGGTTCAATCGTTAGTCAGAGCCAAAGAACTTCAAAAGAAGCATGAAATGAACGAAGAAATGGGCGGAGCAGTCTTACCATTAGAGGAAGATCAGATAAAAAGGGTTCAAGAAACTGTCAAAGTAGATCAAGATCAAGAAAACGAAAGAAGGGTTGGAATCAGTCGTTGAAGGGATCTTACAAGTGTTGTCACTGTCATAAGGAAAGTCACTTCCGGAAAAACTGTCCGGAGAGGAAGAAGAAATTTCAAGAAAATCCTAAAGATCCTAGAGAAGCAAACATAGCATCGGACCACTATGATTCAGCTCAAGCCCTGGTGATCACCGAATCAGAATCCAGCAAGGAGTAGATCCTCGACTCGGGGTGCTATTTCCACATGTGTCCTCATAAGGACTGGTTCGAGACACTGCAAATAGAAAATTGTGGTCTGCACTACTTGGAGACAACAAGGCTTGAATGGTGGTCGACAGTGGAACAATCAGAATAAAGACGTTCAATGGAGCCGAACAAAATTTGCAATATGTCAGGTACGTTCCCGAACTCAAAAGAAATCTGATTTCTTTAGGTACGTTGGAGTCAAGCGGATACTTGTTCAAGGCAGAAAATGATTGCGTAAGAGTAGTTAAAGGTTCTCTCATCATCATGAGAAGGGTCAAAAAAATGGGCTTTACTCCTTAGTTGGTAGAACCGTGATTGGTAACCTCTCTAATGCAATTCAATCAGAAACCGACAGGACTAGACTATGACACATGAGACTGGGACTTGTAAATGAAAGAGGCTTACAAGAACTGTCTAAACAAAACTTGTTATATGGAGATCAAGTCAGTAAACTGGAGTTTTGCGAACAATGTGTATTAGGGAAGGCTACCAGAGTGAAGTTCTCTACGGGAACTAACACATCAAAGAAACCACTTGATTATGTTCACAGCGATCTATGGGGTCCAGCTAGAACTCAAACTCATGGAGGAGGGAGGTACTTCATGTCCATTGTAGACGACTACACCAGGAAGGTATGGGTCTTTATCCTAAAAACAAAAGATGAAGCTTTTCAACGGTTCAAGGATTGGCGAGCTCTGCTCTCACTGAAAATAAGATGGAAACAAAACTAAAGCACCTGAAAACTGACAATGGCTTGGAATATTATTCAGAGCAGTTCAAAGAGTTGTGCAGGAAGAATAGCATTACAAGGCACAAGACAGTTTGGAACACCCCTCAACAGAATGGGTTGGCTAAAAGAATGAACAAGACTCTCTTAGAAAGAGTAAGGTGCATGCTTTTAAACGCCGGTCTACCCAAAACTTTATGGGGTGAAGCTGTGTCGACTGTCTGCTATCTTATCAACAGATATCCATCAATTGCTATTGGAATGAAGCCTCCTTTGGAGATGTGGTACGGGAAACCAGGTAACTATGATAATATCAAAGTTTTTGGATGTATTGCATATGCTCATGTTGGACAGGACAAGCTGGAAGCAAGCTTTAAAGTGCATTTTCATCAGTTACCCGCTTGGAATCAAAGGTTACAAATTGTGGTGTCTAGATCAACAAAAATACATCATCAGTAGAGATGTGGTATTCGATGAGTCCAAAATGGCAAACCTGCAAAGCTATGTTACAAAGAATTGTGCTAGTAAGGAGGACACTCCAATTGAGGTGGAGCTGCAACAACAACAAACTTTGATGGATCAAGGGACTGTTGTGAACAACCAAGACGAAGTGGTAGAAGACCAGCAAGAAACTGAACCAGAAAGCGGATCTAATGACTACAGTCCAGTGAGGATAGACAAAGAAGAACCATGAGACCGCCATAGAGATATGACCATGCAGATTTGATCTCCTATGCATTAAGCATCGCAGAAGAGATAAAAGAAGCATAACCGAATAGCTACAAGGAAGCTCTAAAGAGTAAGGAAAGACACAAGTGGGTAGATGTTATGAATGAAGAGATAGATCCCCTGATGAAGAACAAGACTTGGGAACTTGTGGACCAACCAAAGAACCAACGTGTAAGTGGACCTTTAAGAAGAAGGAAGGCATGCCAGGCATTGAAGAGGTAAGTATAAAACAAGACTTGTTGCAAAGGGATTCACACAGGTAGAAGGAGCTGACATGCTCGCTAAGGTGTTACCTACAACTAAGTTCAGATACTGGCTGGACTTAGTGAACTCAACAGGGGGCTAAGGGCCCCATCGGAACTAGATGAAGGGAATCTCTATTATAGAGCATTGTAATTGAGAGTCAAGGTGGAGAATTGTTATATGACTCTTAATTTGCTAACTAAAATAATGGCAAACTTGTGATTTTCTTAGAAACTTCTATGGTGAATTGGATCTACTTGGGAGGCATAATCTTGTTATAAATAGATGAGGGAGGCTTGTAGAGGATACTACTAGGACTAAAAAATAAATCAAACCAAGAAGGCCAAGAAGAGGAAGAAAATCAGTCCAAGAAGGCCAAGAAGAGGAAGAAAATCAGTCCAAGAAGAAGAAGAATGGGAAAGACTTCAAGATTTGAGGGAAAGA